TTAGATTGCAATAGAAACGTTAACGTGGCTACTCTTAATTTTTTCAAAACATAATTGTTGCAGTGTCGAAGGAGATGGAAGAAAGATATATATAGTGGATAAATTTAGTGCTATCTCCACAATATATATTTTTTTTTTTGAAAAGATACCAGAACCATTTTATTAGGTATGTGAGAAATATACAAAATAGGGGAGGCTAAGTGAAAGCCCTCCAATTTAGAGAAATGGAAGGTATATCATAATTACATAATATCTTCGCAATATCAAATAACGAATTCGATTCATCCCAAGGGTCGTTGAGATCTCACCTCCAAGGAGCTGGATTGTAGTTAGGTAATCGAATTCTACTAGAAAATTGCTGCAATTTATGTTTCGAGCAAGATGAAGGCCTTCCAAAATTGTGCATGATTTAGCCAATAGAGGTGCATATGCTACCACGATGAAAATCGAACTCGTGGCATGAATTTCTCCCTTAGAATCGCAAATTTAATTTAATAAAGCCAATTTTTTAGGTTAAAGTTGCAAAGTTTAAACCATAAACTATATTTCATAACAATATTATCATTGGAATATTTTTGAAAACTATATAAATAAAATCAATTGCAGCTAACAAATCTCATAATTAATTTTGTCACTTTGATATATACACTATTGTCCTTATTATTTTGTCGATATAGATGATTTCTTTTTAATGTGTGGGCCAATCAGAGAAAGTAGGTTATTTAACTGATAAACCAAAATTTGCTAATTATAATTCTTGAGAAATTTACTCATGTAAAAAGTTTTTATAAATGTGCAAATTAAAGTTAATAAATCTTTATTATTTTTATTTCTATACTTTCATATACATGTGGAGATAACTAAGAACAGCATGTGATAAGAAAACATTCCCAGTCAAGTATAAGAAAAATTTACATTAATTATTAAAACCCTCAATAAATAATGAAAATAAACTCTTATATTTGAAGAGGGAGAAGATTCTGAAAAATTAGTTATGGAAGTCATAATTTGAGTGCAATTTAATAGTTGACCACCAAAATGGTGTTTGTTAAATCTTTAATCAATTACAACTTTAAATCATGATTATTGTTATTAATTGACATTTTTTCCCTTTAAAAAAGGGGAAGCAAAGGTTGATGCCACGCAAGCAGCGCGTGGGGCCTGAAATGACACTTGGCTCACGTGTGAGACTTTTGCTTCACTTCTGTACTTGCTAAGAAACAAAGCACAAGAAAACCCTAAAAAAAATGTTTTTCCTTTTTTTTTCTTTATTCCAAATAATACTTTTAATTATAAATGTTATCTTATTTAGTTAACATAGCATCTTGGATTAAATTAATAAGAAATATTTTTTAGTATAATAAATATAGGAATGTAAATTTGAACTTTAAATCCTAAAAAAAGAGAGAATTTATCGTCGAGTTACATTCATATTAATAACTAATACAATAATACATGTAGGATTGGAGGTTCGAACACACGATCTTTCAATCAGAGATACATATCCAAATAAATTTGAATAAAATAAGTTTACATGACCAAAAAAGTTGGATTTAGAATATACCGTAGACACATCAAAATTTAGTAACAAAACTTACGAACTAACCTAAATAATATGAGTCTTTAATATTTAGTGGCCCCCCGAGCCCTAGGCGCGTAACCAGCCCGATTATATGGAGAAAAAAAATTAAAAAAAAAAGAGAGAGAGAAAAAAAAGTGGTGACTTGACTTATCGGCATTCTCAATCACCAAACAGCGTGGGACACGTGTCATCTCAGCTTCCCTGGCAAAAAAGCGCGTGTGGGGCCCAGACAAAGGATAACGGATGGGCCCCACTTTTAGTAACCGGCATGCACCCCCCACCGTGAGCCTAATGATCGTGGGCTAGCCCACGCCGGACCATTAGCCGCCACGTACTGAGTCCCAAACATCATTCTGTTCAGCGGGCCCCACTCCCCACCATACCCCCGGCACGGAAACTCACGCACACTAAACCAAAACCAAAATCCCGGCTTAGCCGCTCCAAAGCCGAGCCGGCTTATCTCCTTTTTATCCGTAACAAAATTAAATAATAATAATAATAAGGAATTTAAATTATAGTATTTGGAGAGGCGTCCCCATCGTATTCTATAATGGTCGGTTCCCGGCGGGTCCCACTAAGCTTCCCAAACAAATATTAAATAAAATAAATAAAACTAAATATTTGCGGACCGACCAACCAGAGCCCGCGTGCGATAGCAGGTGAGGGACTTAGGTAAAATAAATATAATTTTATTTATTTATTGTTTCCTCAAACCTTAAATAACATTTAGGTATTAAAATATTTGCACTTTAGAAAAAAAAAAATTGTATTGTCTGTATGGCTCTCTGTCTAATTGTATGTGTGTTGGTGGGGGTACCTTAAAATTTGGTCCTTTTTTAAGACAGGAATGGTACGTGCGAAGAACCCCACAGTGCCACGTGGACACAAATGATTTTCTTCCATTCAATTACCTATATATATTTATTTAAAAAAAGATATTTTTCGCTTACTTTTCAAGATATTTATATACAACTTTTGTATCAATGAGATAATAAAATGATATGTTTTTAAAATGGGTCGGTAAATTTTGCATAATGTGTGATTTTTTTTTCAATGACAAATAAATTTTGTGTTTCAACTTCATATTCAATATTATGTTGTTTTTATAAATCTCATAATAAACCGTTGTGCAAATGTAATGAAATATTTTTATTATCGGTTTCTTAATTCCTTTTTGTTAGGTATTTTCGAGAACATTATTTATAATCAAGTCAAATTATAAACATTTGAAGAATTATTTTATTTTTTAAATTTAACTAAAATTTATGGTTTGATAATGAGACCCTTAGGATATCCACAAATTCTCGATTCATTCCTGGGAGCTATAATTTCAACAAGTTTTCTTAATTATATAGTAAACTTATTAGTAAACTACGTCATCTAATTTATGGCATAAGAATAATCAACCCTATACCTTAAAAAATCAAATGTCTATTAATAGTTTTTTTTTAAACAAAGTAAAGTGATAGTTAAAATTAAGAATAATATAAATATATATTACATACAAAGACAAACAAATTTATGTCAGCTATAGTATTCCAAGCATTAGAAGACAAATTATATAGACAAGAAAAAAACAAAATTACGTTAAAATTCTTCAAAGAGAAAGGGCTAATGATGATCATCTAGAAGGAAAATGAAATTCAATTTATATATAGAGAAAGAAAGAGAGAGGGGATGATGTTAACCCTGCGAGGTCATCACCCCACAGAAAATAAAGAAACAACTAAGTTTATTAATTAGTTATTAATCATTATCATATGTTTATGTCAATATTAATTTTCCTGTAATTCACTTTTTGTCCTTTCGAGTTCTTTGAGAGACCCATATAACTAATCCCCACCATTAGGTCTCCATTTCTCCCAAGAAAAGAAAAAAAAAATCAATCTTGCTGCTCTAGTAATCGTTGAATCGTTTCATGCAAGCTCAAAATCCATTCTTCCGGATTTATTTGGTAATGTTCTAATTCTTATTTCTGCTTTTCATTTTTAACCAAGACAAATAGAATTACATGGCCTCTAATATCGATAGATTCAAGAATGATAAAATAACATTTTTATTTATGTTTTGGAACAAATTGGAAACGAGAACCAAAAACAAGATACTTAGGGCTCGTTTGGTAACATTCTTGTTTCTTGCTTCTGTTTCTTCATTTTTAATGAAGAAAAATGAATTGCATGGCTCCAACATCCAAGAACTCAAGTATGATAAAACAATCTCTTTATTTATGTTTTGGAAGAACAAATTGGAAACGGTAACAAAAAAGAAGAAACTTGTTTTGGTTGTTCTAAAATTTCTATACAATTTTGACAATGTGTTCCAAAAAGATGAAAACGATAAACATAGTTAGTTGTAAAATGCTTAAATTTCTTAAAAAAATTGGAAACAAGAAACAAGAAAGGAGAATTGGTTGATGATCTGAAAACAGAAACTTGAAAACAAAGGATTCAATGAAAATGAGGTTGTTTTAAGTATTTTCACATATATGTTGGTAGCAAATTTAGAAATTGAATCTCAGTTTAAAAAATTGTTCAAGGTCTTAGTTAAATCTAAAGATAATATTAATTGATTTATTAACACATATATTATAAATTTTGTATAATTATTATTTTACAATACTATATATTTTACAATATATTATATTTTACATTTTTTAGTTTTAAAAAAAATAAAAAGAGTTTATAGCATAATACAATATATTTATAAAAAAAATTTATCGTTCTTAATGCAGTTCAAACATGGTTGTTTTTAGAATTTACACTGTTTGGATCACAGAATTCGAAAATAATTTTCAAAATATGTATTCACTTAATTCATTTGATTAGTGAATCTGAAAATGAGAAACATAATCTAGATTGCATACCAAAACAGACCTTTATTTTGTTTCCAAAAATTCTATATAATTTCGACCATGTTTCTAAATTCTCAAGTTTTTTTAAAGTAAATTTGAAAACAAAAAACAAGAAAAGGAAAGGTTATCGAATAGACTCTAAATTTTCTCTCTTACATCTAACTATGTAGAATCGTCAATCACATTGTTCCATTCCGGTCAAATAATTTCTCCACGAAAATAACATTCACTTCTAGTCTACATCAGTTGCTGGTGGGTATTGTGAGAGGTTGCTGCTTCTCTCTCTCAGTATTTCTCTCTCTCGTGAGCCATTTGAGCGCCACCCTTTTTTATGCTGCAAAGCTTTTGTAGCAATCAAGCTCCCACATAAAAGATAAGAGAGAGAGAGAGACATGAGAGAAGAAAGAAGGAATATAGATTAATGGGCCATGTCTGTTTCTCTAGTCATTCTTATTTAACCCTACTTCCTCTCTATTCTTCCATTCCCTCGAAACCCTTCCTTTTTCATCTTCCTCTTTTTTCCGCTTCTCGGGATCTGATCTCGAGACAGAGGAGAGGAGAGAAGAAGAAGTGAGACAAAACTGATCTCTTATCAGTTTTATTATATAATCTCCCTTTTGTTTCCTTCTCATCTCTTAGCTCTCTCATAGAGTTTTGGAAAAGAGCCCCTCATAAAGCTATTACCTTCCATCGTGTCTCCCTAATTCCCATTTCAACTAGATCTGTGGACGAAGCTTGGTAGCTCTGGATTGGCCTTTTTGCAACTTCACAACACTCCCCAGGTTCGACTTTCTATTTTTATTTATCATCTCATCTTCTCCCTCTTTTTCTTGTTATTTTCAGTTTATTTATTAGGCATTTGGAGTATGAAACAGATAATATATGAATTAAATTTGATATTTCCTTTCCCAAAATGTCACCTTTATGAAATTATATTTTCTGGGTGTGTGCTTCGGGAAGTAAAGACAGATCATGTTTTGAACAAAATTTTTCACATTTTAGATTATTACCCAGTTGTCTAAATATAACCCCATGCTTTGTTGTTTATTTCTAAAGTGTAGATCTCGTATAAGGAAGGTGGGTTTTAGCTGTGGAGATAACATTTATCTTTTCCTTCTCAAGTAGTACTGTTGTTAATGTATTGCTCATTATGATTTTTTACGTTGGAAATTATTTTAACCTAACGAGGCGAAAACATTAAGTTATGTCTGCAATAATGGGCGGCTATGTGTAATTTTTTTAACCTCATGCGAGTTTAATTACTTGCTACTTGATTGCTTCTAACTTTTGGCAGGAATTGGTTTACTATTTAAAGGTATGATTACTTCTATAAGACCTTCATAATCCCTTAGAGAATTGAAGTTCAAGCTTTTGATGTGTATTGTTTGCCGTTTGAAAATAATGTTTAGTATTCAAAGCAATTACCCTTGTTTTTTAGGTAGGTTTGAGAAGGATCTTAATGTGGAACTATTCTTTAATCTACTCATAATTCAGAATTAAATCTAGGCTAGGATATTTATGTTACTTAATGCAAGCTTGATTAGGAAACCCATTTGGATTTTATTTTAAAGCATATAACATTAAAAGTATAGCATTAAATGTGGAGGTGTAGAGAAGGTTAGATTTACTAATGTCTTAACCATTCAACATATATATTAGTTGGACTAAATTTTGGTATCATCATACAATAATTAATATCTAGCTAGCTATGTGTTCTTGGATTAGAAACAACCTTAGGTGACTTTCAAAATGAGCAAGTGAATGCCTTTATTGTATATAGAGCTAATTAATCGATTTTTTAAGCGTTTCCGTGCATTTCTTTCAACGAAGTCTCCAAACCCATTACTTAGTTTTGAGACGACATTAAAAAATTACTACTTCATCAATATTGGTCATCAAAATCATATTTCTTTTCTAACTATTATATTTCTAGCATTTCATGTGACTTCACACAGCCTCCTCCTATGGTATGTTTCTTACGTATCATCTTAACAAAGACAAAGTCACATTGTATACAAGAAATTTAAACCCTCAAATAGGCTCCATATTTACTTTGATTCCCTAGACCTAGCTAGAATGTAAATTATTCTTCATATATATAAAATAAGACGGAAATGATAGTATAAGAGTTCAGGACAATTATAAATCTCTTTTGTATAATTTCGATATATTTACTATTCTCTTAATTAGAATATTTTCCTCTAGGCGTCTTTTAGGTCTAGTTATAGTTATGTTAATTCATACAAGAATCTCATTTGATTAGAGAGGTTATTTGGGCTTAAAATTAAATGATGTATTCTAATTTGGGTTATGATAAACTATATGCAGGGTTTGTAGTTGGAATATAAGTGAATATGAACTGCATTCCACATGTTCCCCCCGGCTTTAGGTTTCACCCAACAGATGAAGAACTTGTTGATTATTACCTGAGGAAGAAGGTTGCTTCCAAAAGAATTGATTTGGATATCATCAAAGATGTCAACCTTTACAAAATCGAGCCATGGGATCTTCAAGGTAGTATAGAAAGGGAGAGAGAGAGATGTTTTGATGTTTTTTTGATGATATTGATGATTCTTTTGTGTGTTTTTTGTGTAGAACTATGTAAACTGGGAAGTGAAGATCAGAATGAATGGTATTTCTTCAGCCACAAGGACAAGAAGTACCCGACAGGAACTCGAACAAACCGAGCGACAAAAGCAGGGTTTTGGAAAGCAACAGGAAGAGACAAAGCTATTTATTCTCGGCATTGTTTGGTTGGGATGAGAAAAACCTTAGTGTTCTATAAAGGAAGAGCTCCCAATGGACAAAAATCAGATTGGATCATGCATGAATACAGACTTGAAACTAATGAAAATGCAACTCCTCAGGTAACTCTTCAACTGAGTCTCACTCCCTATTTTTTCTTTTCACTTAATTTCTTGATGAAAAGGAGAAAAAAAAGTTAATTATGTTCGTAAGGATTAATCAAATTACTCTTTAATTCTCACTAAAAAAGCTTGTTTACATGCTAAATTATTATTGTTTAGTACCTGGCATGTAGTCAGAAGTCTATTCTTCCTTCTTAAATAGGATTAAATCACCAATGAACCAAAATTAAGTTGTTTGTAGACATCTAACCTCATTCATTCTTATTGTTTAAAGACACACCTGAATTTTTTTTTGCACAAGTATAGTCATGTTGTGATATATTAATACAACTTAAATTAAAATCCCGTGCTTTAATTATTGAAGCTTTTTTTTCTTAATTTATTTGGGAAAAAGAACCAACGTCTAAGGATATATATAACTCATTTCCCTTGCGCTCATATTCAATCCTAACCCACACCTCATATTTCCAACCTATCAACTTAAGCTTTTGAGTTTAGTAGTGGTTTATTTATCCTTAGCAGAGTAGAGTGTGAGGTATCAATATTCATAGGGTTTCATCTCAAAACTAATTAAATTGACAATAAGAGAAGTAGCTTATGTCTATTATAAACCAATGTAAAGTTTCTTCTGTTAAGGATTCACATTGATAAAAGAAAAAACCTTACATACGTTTATAATAGACATGAGCTACTTGTCTCATTGCCAACTAGTTTTGAGATGGAACCACATGATTATTAGATAGTATCAGAGCCCAAAATGAATGAAAGCCTATTAAACACAAAATTCAAAAGCTTAATTATAAACGAATTGAACTTTTAAAGTACCATGACTAATTACACAACCACCTAGTTAACAAACTTATAATTTAACCAATAATTTATCCCATCTTCCTCTAGCCTCGTATCCTATCTTTCTCTTTAATAAAGCCAGTGGCTTCATATGAAAAAAATATATATAATTTAACCTATAATTAACGATCATAATCGTGAAAGTGCATAGCTCGAGGGTAATTATTATTTTTATACATATGATTTACATTTAACAGTCGAAACAATTTTAATGACTCCTTCGAAATTTTGGCAATACACCAGGAAGAAGGATGGGTGGTGTGCAGAGTTTTCAAGAAGCGGCTGCCGACGGTGAGAAAAGCCGGGGACTACGGCTCACCGTGCTGGTACGACGACCAAGTCTCCTTCATGCCGGAGCTCGATTCTCCGACCACCCAAATCTCTCATCACCAGCCGTACCCATCCTTCCACCACCCTAATTACCCCTGCAAGCAAGAGCTTGAATTACACTACCACGCGCCGCCGCACGACCCCATGTTCCTCCAGCTCCCTCACCTCGAGAGCCCCAAAATGCAACCCTCCTCCGCCGCCAACTCTCTCCTCCCTTACGCCTACGCCGAGCAGGCCGTGGCTGATCACGTCACCGATTGGCGAGTGATGGAAAAATTCGTGGCCTCTCAGCTCAGCAACGATCAAGATCATGTCAAGCCATCAAATTATTCCCAAGCTTCTGTTTTTCAACTCCCCCATGAGTGTGAACGCAAAGATATGGCACCGGAGTTTGCTCTGGCGGCGTCACCGCCGTCGAGTTGCCAGGTGGATCTCTGGAAGTGAAGGAAATAAGGAAAGGGAAATATATATTGTGATCTCTACATGGTGTCCAAAAAAATGTTAGAACGAACCATATACCAAAAAAGAAAAAAAAAAACTAATTATAGGAAGAAAGGAGAAGCCGATATTGATACGATATTTTTATTCTGAGGTTGCTGTACATAATAAAGAAGAAAAAAAATGCATGGTATGCCTTTTAATTAACTGTTGGAGATATAATGATGCGAAGTATTGAATTAATATATATATATATATATATATATATAAATATATACTAGTTTGATAGGGAAAGAATTAATGAAGTTGGAATTGTATTTTGGCTTGTTTTTTTTTTTTTTCAGATTCAAAATATTGCATGCAAAAGGACCAACTCGGCCTTCCCATGTAATAAATTAGGTTAAAACTCATTCATTTCTTCTATTGAACAACTTCTCTAAGACTTGTTGAAATTGAGTTAATGGGCAATAAAATTCTATCTTTTCTATTATATATAGTCTCTCCTTTGATATTAAGATCAAGACATGAAAATTATGTACCACAATATTTGAGGATGAACTATATACCTTATATAATGAAAAAAGTATTATAAGAAATGTAAATGGGTTATGATGTATTTTAATTCGTGAGAACTCTAATAAATAATTTTTGAAGCTTAGTGTGTTGATAAACAATCTCGTTTTCTCACATACTTTTTTAGTGAAATAACGTGATATTTTTCTTTCAAAAAAAAATAATAAAATCTCGTTTTCCCAAATTTATGTATATAGTACTTTTTACTTCTGACCCACATTATTTTCACTCGAGTTTAATTAGATTATATGATATGTAAGTCAAAATTGTGGATTTTTTTTTTAATGGTGTTTTCATTGAAACCATCTTCCTACTGGTGATTTCAAAAATACTGATTACATGCTTTTTAAGTTTTAGCTATTTTTTAGGTATTTAAAAGTCAAACAATGATGAAATTTTAAAAAATATATCTGAACACACATTTTGCTGGCTCAATTTTGTATTTCACATCAAAGTACAAATGGCCTGATTTTGTACTAATATGTTCTTATATAATAAATGTAATCACTATTTAGTGACTGGGATTTTTTGACTTAGCACGTAATTAGTTAATAAATATATATCATATTAGTTACAATAACATCATTAAACTATATCTTTTGTGCTCTACACGACTATGTATATATATAATAAGAAGTCATGTGATAAATTGACAATTGATTTCGTAATTACGGCTGGAAAATTTTTCAAATGTGGCATTATAACCATGCAAAATTTTAATGCATTTTCAACATAGATGGATAAGAAAACAAGATATATAAATAATAACGTACTATTAATATAACACACATTTTTCTCAAAAAATGTGAATTTATTTTTAATGGCATGTACGACAAATACAACGAAAATGGCCCTGCGGCCCCTTTCCCACATTTGAAATTGCTAGATCCAACAGAGAGGAAGACAGAGGAAGGATCTGGGGCCTGAGTTGGCTCTGAAACATACCTGTAGTATAATGTGTTGCTGCATGAAAACCGACAAGGCGGTGGCGGTGGCAATGCAGCGGAGGAGGAGACGGCGGATGGAGAAGATATAGAAATGGATGGTGTGAGTTTGGTGTGGTTGGGAAGGGCAAATTAAAGCTGCGGAGAAATGGGAGTAAATTGAATATATATATTTGTTAAGTAGTAATGTGGATTTTGGAAATATTGTGGCTGTTCTCCAAATGTGTTCATTACTTGAGTTGAAGGTGAAGCATAAATGAAAGTTATAAGTCCCTTTTAAGCAAGGAGAATCTTGCTCTACCAGACACAATTATTGGGCGTGCTCTCATCGATTTCCAAATGCATCATCCCTCTCTCTTTGATACACAAACACACAAGGAAACAAATAATACACTATTTTTGACCAAGAATTTCATCTTTACAATGATTTTGGGGTATATGGGTCGACATGGCAAAAACAAAATCTTACTAAAATTCATAATAATGTTATGATAGTGTTTATTTTGATTCATTTTGATGTAGTTTTGTACCTACAGTCGATATATACAAAGTGAAGAAGGAAGGGAAAAACCGTCCTCCTTAGACACGAAAAGTAAAATTTGCCGTCTAATTGCAAAATATCGATATGATATTAAAGTCTAAAAAATGGGATAAATTCGGTCGAGGTAATTAGTTAAAGATCCCGTGAAAAGATAAGAGATCTAACAAATGTTTATAACATATATTGGACTACTCTTCTCCTTCCCAATCAAATCTAGAAGCTTAAGTGAATAGTTTGTGCTATATTTAATCTTTTTATATGTAATCTCATTAACACTATCCTTTACTCTTGTGAGTTTGAAAATTAACACCAGACATATACAACAAGTGATTATTAATCTAGACCTAAAAGTGTTTAAGGTTAAAGTATATATTTAACTTTTTATATATATTTTGTAACTGTATAAAATAAATAAATAAAAAAACTGGTTTTTGACTATACATATAGAAAACGATCATTAGAAAGAGAGTTATATTGTGATTGTGGCAGTGGAGTATGAAATGTGACACACTTGGGGCAAAAGACATTTATGACTTTGTTTGTGGGAAACCTAGGATGAACTGGACGACTGTGTGACCTGCGAGAATTGAGTGAGCAGACAGAGAAAGCATGCGCATTAAATATTGTAATAGATGATAGCTGATTTAATTTGTGTGGTTGAGATTGCAATTAGGGTTTTTGTTTGAAATTCATTTACTTTAATTTTTGGTTATTTGCAAATAAGATAATATAATCGACTAGTCAATTACCAAACGTTCATCGAGAATTTTATTAAGGAAAGCTTTGATTCTCTCGGTTGTCATAAAAGGAACCTCCTCTAGTGAGTTGCAGTTGGCTCGATCTTCTACCATCTATGGTTGGAAAGAAACTATCGATCCTTCTCAGGAGTCCACAGTTATTGAAAATTAAAGAAATATTAAACTGTGTTGAAAAAAATCTCAATCCTATCGCATTTATTGCTACAACATTGTTCATTCTAGTTTCCGTAGTTTTTCAATTCTATTTCATATGTACTCGGTTTGAATTAACCTGATTAGATAGAAGATTTCTTTCGCTAGTGTCATATGGTGCAACCAACTGTAAGTTTGTCTTAGCTTAACAAGATTATATTTCACGGAAGTGAACCCAATGTATAGTTAGTGAAACCTGAACGTAGCTATATCACGTCAAGTGAATACATTACAACTTTGGGACGATATCAAAATAGCTATCTCAACTTGGTCAACGGTTTGATCTTTTTGTAATTATGATATCTCTACTACTATTTTTCTTAATCGGAGTACTTTCATATAGCTTTCTTTCGTCGGGCCTGCAATTATAACCCACCTCTCCTTCTCTCACTTTATTCAAATCTCCACAGTTCCTGGAGTCTAATCCACCAAGTTTCTCACATTAATTAGGTTTAAATTTTTAAATTGGTCTAAAATTTCTGAAGAAGTAAAAAATAAAATAATAATAATATATATTTTGTTGAGTTCAACCGTATGGAATGGGATATCGAATTATTCATTTTTGAAATGGTATATATATCTGTCTTTATCTACTCATTTATGCTTAGAATGACATGTAAAAAAATTATTGGTAACTAAACAAACTTAGTTTTTTCAAAAGTGTAATATGACAAAATTATTATTTGCCTAAACTTTTCACTTAAATTTAGATGGAACGAACGTTATGAAGTTTTGCTTGTATGAAAGTGACAATACTAATGGAAATGTGAGCAACAACCGACAGATCAAATGTTGGCATTTTGCATTTACAGTTAGTTAATTACTTTGGTTAGGGATGATTAAATTAGAACATGTTTTAAACCTTTGTGGATCCAAACAAATTAAATTATTAAACTTTACGATAAAGAGAGGAACAAAAGTTCCAATTATACCAAATATGTACGGGGACTATTAAATAAAATACAACCATTCCATCGAAATGAATAAACATGCATTTTGAAATGATTGAATACTTGTACGTATGATATACCAAAAAACGTACAAGAGTACAATACTTTATTAATATATACGTTCATAGGTATGTATTCAACACATCATATTTAAACCGAGCATAGCTCAAGTGGTTAAGACATCTATCTCTGACCAAAAGATGATGAGTTTGAATCCTTATCCTCCACATGTTGTACTTTATGATTGTGATATATCCACATTTTTTTCTCTCATGAACAAAAGACGATTATTCACTTTGTACAAGTTACAAACAAACTAGAACAGTAATCTCGAACTACTCAAATGTATAGACCATATTTTCCTTCATTGCCCTTTTATTGCAAGTTTATGGCATCGTCTCCTCTACATTTTTCAGGTCCAAAGTGCAATTCCTTGCCAAGTCGATTTATTCATCACAGAAAACCTTAGTATTCCTCTCTCTAACCAAAAATATGTATTATTGAGCAATGCTATAAGTGCTATTCTTTGGCATACTTGGTTAGAAAGAAATCACCTGAACATTTACAGGTTTTTCGAAGACTACAACCAACATTTGGGAGGACATCACATCACTGCTTCTCTTTGGTCTACAAAATCCAATCTTTTTTGTACTTACGATTCATCTATTATATCTCTTAATTGGAGTGCTTTTATATAGGCCTCCTTTTTTTTTTATGTTTCTCACATACATCAATGAAGTCTCTTTTTCCAAAAAAAAAAAAAGATAAATGAAAATTTTAAAGTTTATGTGGAATATATATATGTGAAATGATTTTTCAAATTAACCTTTCGAACAAGATATGGTGGGATAGAAAGCTAGGGGTTCGTTTGGTAACGTTTCTATTTCTTGTGTCTCGTTTCCAATTTTATTAAGATATCTAAACATCTAACAACTATTTATTTTTCTTTGTTTCTCTTTTATTTAGAAATATTATCAAAATTGTATAGAAATTTTGGAAACAATAGAAATAAGTTCCTTGTTTTCTTGTTCTCGTTTCTAATTTGTTCCAATATAAATAAAAATTTTGTTTTATCGTTATTGAATATACAAATGTTACGAGCCATATATTCTATTTTTCTCTATTAAAAATAGGAAACAACAAAAAGCGAGAACGCTGCCAAATGGACTCTAGATGTGTGAAAATGAACATAGTA